TCCCTTCTGGCCTTCAAAATCCACAAATCTATGAAAACAGAGCAATTCAATGTAGCAGACAAAGCTATAACATGATCCAGTGACTGGAATTCAAAGCTAGACAAATTCATACTGGAAATAAAGTGTAAATTTTAACTGCAACAATCTACTAAGGGATGTGGTAAATTCTACATCATTTGAAATCTTTATAATTAAGACTGGATATCTTCCTAGAAGTCATGCTCTTGTTCAACCACAAGTTTTTGGGCTTGATGTAGGAATTATTGAGTGACATTTTAGGGGCGAGTCAAACGATATAATTGCAACAGTCCTTTCTGGCCTTCAAATCGAGAATAAACTGCGTAGTGACTGCACCTCAAGCAAGCGTATGTTGAGGGTCCTACTGCAAGCCACATTCCACTGTGCAATAAAACAGGATTGCAGTCTTCCTATTAGTGGGGAAAAGCCAAGAACAGCTGAGATTTCCCCCAGTGTACAGATGCCAGAGTGAATAAAAATTCATGGATTTAAAAATAAATAGATTTTTTAAAATTTATGATCAGATTTTTTATTTTATTTAAATTATAATTTTTTCTTTATAAAAATACACGCATTTACAATTAAATCTGAATTCAATATAAAAAACATGATATGGCCTAAACTTATTATAATCTCTTAAAACATTTAAATAAAAAATAAATACGCTGAATTTATAAGCCTCTATCAAAACTATGAGTTAAAGGCTTCTTTTCTACATAAAGAAAGTATTGGGGGAAAACATCTAATTTTTGAGGCTAAGCTTTGGCACAACAGGTCAGCCTAAGTAAGTTAGGAGACTGTCTCATTTTCAAAAAACTGAAGCGAATAGGAACTTAAACTCCAGTCCCTTTCATTTAGGCGTATTTGAAACATATTTCCCAGGCTGACCTGAAATAATCAGTTTAATTCACTGACTACAATTAATCCCTCTGTTTAATAAATAATTTAGTTATAAACTTGAAACATGTTTTGATAAGATAAAATTACTTATCCAAAACATTTAAGGTTTTGTTCAATAAAAAATGAATTTTATATGCTGTTTCTTGTTTAATTAAATTCCAGTTACCATTCTAAGGCAGCATGACACAAATCATGGGCAAAAAGTTAATTATCTAACAAACAAGCAATATTATATCATTCAACATTTTCTAACATACTAAAACTGTACAATAAATAAGAATCTGAAAATATTAAGCCATATAATTGCTTAAATAAATGTATACAGTTATAGGGTACCATCCTAGTTAGCAAAAAGATGTCCCAAATATAGTATAAAGGCTCTATTTAGTTGTAAATCAACATTTGTTAATGCTTATATCAATCACTGAGAATGCACTTTTCTTTAGAAAATAACTGGAGTAAAAATGGAAAAGTTGATTAAAACTAATTTTTTAAATCAATGCTTTCCACTTAGTGATTTAAATCAATCCACCCTGATAAACACCTAATTCAGGGAGTCAATCCACCCTGACAGACACCCAAATCAAGGAGTCACAGAGCCTCTGAAAAATCAAGGAAGAATGCCCATTTTAGTAGAGTTTCATTGTTGGTTTTCGCAACAGCCACTAACATCCAGAATTCAAGAGGACATAATTTGGGTGAACAGCTTTGAGGCTGATTGGTAGCCTGCTGAGCAGGCACAGAAGCCAAGCAATGTTGCAAGGAGACTAAAATGAGCCCTTGGATTAGCACTTGCATACTAAAGGCGAGGGGCTTACATTGAGTACAGGTCAGCTCAGAGCCTTTAGGGTAAATTTGGTGCGGAGAATAAAATGTTCCTGCTGACTGCCTGTAGCATTCTCTATTGTACTGTTGGAGACCCTTTTAGCTGTAAGGTCTCTACAGAAAAAGCACTTATCCTTACTGTTGTTCTTCTATCTTCTATATTTCCTACACTAGAAATTATTTTCTCCTTTCCTTCCTTGTATGTACAGCCGCTGGAAAATAAAGGATTAATTAGTGAAAGGAAATAATTAGAGTTGGGAAAGGAAACATGAGGCTACACTCCATGATTCCAGGTGAGGAGGCAAACAAGAAAACTTGAAAGAAAGTTGCCAGATTGGTGCTTACTCGGGTTGTTGTATAGCTGTTAATAGCAGTTAACTTACGTGATTAACTCAAAAAAATTAACCATGATTAAAAAAATTAATCACAAACTAATTGTCGTTTTAATTGCATTGTTAAACAATAGAATACCAATTGAAATTTATTAAAATATTTTGGATGTTCTTCTACATTTTAAAGTATATTGATTTCAATTGCAATACAGAATACGAAGTGTACACTGCTCAGTTTATATTTATTTTTTATTACAAATATTTGCATTGTGAAAGTGATAAACAAAAGAAACTATTTTTCAATTCACCTCAGACAAGTACTGTAGTGCAAACCCTTTATTGTAAGAGTGCAACTTACAAATGTAGATTTTTTTTTTTGTTACATAGCTGCACTACAAAAACAAAACAATGCAAAACTTTAGAGCCTACAAGTCCACACTCGGTCCTACTTTTTGTTCAGCCAATCGCTAAGACAAACAAGTTTGTTTACCTTTACGGGAGATAATGCTGCCCACTTCTTATTTACAATATCACCAGAAAGTGAGAACAGGCGTTCGCATGGGACTTTTGTAGCTAGCATTGCAAGGTATTTACGTTCCAGATATGTTAAACATTCATATGCCTCTTTGTGCTTCAGCCACCATTTGAGAAGACATGTTTCCATGCCGATGATGCTCGTTAAACAAATAATGTGTTAATTAAATTTGTGACTGAACTCCTTGGGGGAGAATTGTATGTCTCCAGTTCTATTTTACCCACATCCTGCCATATATTTCATGTTATAGTAGTCTCGGATGATGATCCAGCACATGTTGTTCATTTTAAAAACACTTTCACTGCAAATTTGACAAAATGCAAAGAAGATACCAATGTGAGATTTCTAAAGATAGCTACAGCACTTGACCCAAGGTTTAAGAATCTGAAGTGCCTTCCAAAATCTGAGAGAGATGAGGTGTGGAGCATGCTTTCAAAAGTCTTAAAAGAGCAACACTCCAATGTAGAAACTACAGAACCCGAAGCACCAAAAAAGAAAATCAACTTTCTGCTGATGGCATCTGACTCAGATGATGAAAATGAACATGCTTTGGTCCGCTCAGTATTGAGCAGAACCTGTCATCAGCATTGATGCATGTCCTCTGGAATGGTGGTTGAAGCATGAAGGGACATATTAATGTTTAGCATATCTGGCATGTAAATATCTTGCGACACTGGCTACAACAGTGCCATGAAAACGCCTGTTCTCACTTTCAGGTGACATTGTAAACAAGAAGCGGGCAGCATTATCTCCTGCAATGTAAACAAACTTGAATGTCTGAGCCATTGGCTGAACAAGAAATAGGACTGAGTGAACTTGTAGGCTCTAAAGTTTTATACTGTTTTATTTTTGAATGCAATTTTTTTTTTTTACATAATTCAACATTTGTAAGTTCAACTTTCATGATAAAGAGATTGCACTACAGTACTTGTATTAGGTGAATTGAAAAATACTATTTTTGTTTTTTACATTGCAAATATTTGTAATAAAAAAATAAATATAAAGTGGGAACTATACACTTTGTATTCTGTGTTATAATTGAAATCAATATATTTGAAAATGTAGAAAAAACCCAAAAACATTTAAATAAATGGTATTCTATTATTGACAGTGCGATTAATTGTGATTAATTTTTTTAATTGCTTGACAGCCATAGTGCTCACACATCAGCCTTAATCAATATTGGCAGAAGATAGAACCATAAGCTGTCCACAGCTGCTTTTTCTAGGCATGCTGGGAGAGGAGCAACCAGTTGAAGCACTGTGTACATTTGTTGTCTTATAAGATCATCCAAGACTTGTCTGAAGTATAACAAGTGTGGGATTTTAAAAATAAATCCAGTGAGATGATTCCAGGCACTTGAGGAAGACAGACAAAACACCAATAATATTGTTTAGCTAGGCCACACTTTAGCTAAGTAACACATCTGGGAACTATCTGGCAACAAGACATCTAGTGCAGGTTATCCTTCTTTCTGTAAGTTGTGCCACCCAGGTGGCCACTACTGGCTGCCCCACATCTCTCTCTCTTTACCACCAGGGGGAGGGGTGCCCCCAGTTCACTCCCCCACACATTGACCCCAGCACTGGGTTCTGACTGCCCAACCCCTTGTATGAAAATTAAGGGAAGAGTGGGTTGACTCCTTGCCATACAAGACATTAGGAGGCCCAATTCTATTTCCCACTTTCTTTAGGAGATTCCCTCTAATCTGTGGTGGAACTGGACACTCTATCAAATGCTTATCCACATGAGGCATCCACCAAGTTATGACAACATGAATTTTACAATATGTCCTAACCCACCAGTTCCCTGGGCTGCTCAGGAGAAGGTGAAACAACCCCACATTGCGCCCAGGCCAATCTGGGAGTGAGGGAAAAATTCCTTCTCATCGTCCCAAAAAATAACTAGGATGATGCCCAAAGCAAGGCCCCAAAACCTGGATATCCTACTCTCATCCCAAGAGGAAGAGCTTTGTTCACGGTGCAGAATGACACCTCAGGCAGGGGGAAGGGCTTACAAACCATCAGCTGATGGCTCAGGAGCCAAAAGATTAACACGGCACCCTTCTGTCCAGCCAGCCAGTTAAGGTTCTCCCCCTCCCCGCTCAAGTCCATGAGGAAGGGAGGAAATAAGAGGGGCAATCCTTAAAGGAGCCAAAGACTTTCTTTCACCTGCTGGTCCAGACAAAGGCTCTCCAACCTCGGAAGGTGCATAGGAGGGGACCTCGAGTGAGGTACTTCTTGTAATATACATTAGTGCTTTCTCTTTGTAATATAAAATTCCATTTTCTAGTCATAAAGGTAACTAAGACAGTTGTGTGTGTATAAATGTCAGTGAAACAATATTGTAATAATCATGCTTTATAAATAAAAATCATTTTATATGCTCACCCAAGGCTTCTCACAAGCTTTGCAAATTCTAAAAGGCAGGTGTTTGAAGGCAGACGAAGTTGTCCTTCAGCCAAAGCTAGCTGGCAGTCTTCAAATGTGTAGTCTGTTACTGAAACTCCCAAAGCCCTTGAGTAAAGAAATCCGATACAGTAAATATCATCTCTTTTGATACACAAATCTATCTTTTACACACACACACACCCACCCTCCCACCCCTTTATTACCTTGGCTCTGCACAGCATTAAACCCTATACAAATATATCAAAGCGAAAATTTAAAAAGTGAATAGACAACGGGGAAAATGTAAGTACACCTCTACCCCGATATAACGCGGTCCTCGGGAGCCAAAAAATCTTACCGCGTTATAAATGAAACCGCGTTATATCAAACTTGCTTTGCCCTCAAGCATTTCCGTTATTAATAGTCACTTCCTGCCCCCTGACTGACCCCTCAAAACCCCCGACCCATCCAACCCCCCCTGCTCCTTGTCCCGACTACCTCTCCGGAGACCCCACCCCCTATCTAAGCCCCCCTGCTCCTGGTCCCCTGACCAACCCCTGAGACCCTCTGCCCCTTATCCAACCCTTCAGCCCCGGCCTGGCACCCTTAACACACCACTCAGAGCAGCGTGTCGGAGCCAGACACGCTGATCCGCCCCACCTCGCCCTGCCCCCGAGCGCTGCTTTACTGCGTTATATCCGAATTCGTGTTATATCAGGTCACGTTATATCAGGGTAGAGGTGTACAAAAAACTAAAGATACATTCTACGGAAACCTGCTGCATGAATGTTTACTTTGACTCTTCAGATACAAGTCCAAGGAGATACAAAAGAAAAGAACACTAAGGATAATATAATAGGCGAACAAAAATAAGGAAATAAAATTCACATCAAAGCTTCCTGAAGTATGACCATGGAAAAAATACCACTGACCTACAGGGTCCCAGAGCCCCAGCCCAGAACTCTACACAGCACTGAAACAGCCCCACAACCCGATCCCCTGTGAGCCTGAGTCAGCTGGCACGGGCCAGCCATGGGTTTTTCTTTGCTGTGTAGACATACCCAGAAACTGAGGAGGATGGTGTCCTAAGGTGAAACTGACACAGGGAGCCCAAAGACTGAAATTGACCAGGAAGCCCAGAGCTGAGGAAAAATTGATGAAGGCTCCTTACTCATAGGTGCAACCGACAAGAATGCTTGTGAAAGTGATGATGGCACCCTATGAGAAGGGTGCTTTGGTGTAGACACACACTCTGTTGGCATCTGCTTGAATGACTTCTCAGCTTGCCTGAGTCTTGTTTGTTTCTCCCATGAGGAGAAGGGGTCTCTGACTGCTCCAATAGGATCTCAGTCTGCTATGGCAAATTCTTATATTGACAAGGTCTCTTAAGACCTTTGCAGCTTGGAGAGAGATTTTCCTCATCTCCGGAGTACTGGAGGCATGAATAGAGCAGGTGGAATTCACCTGATCCCTCAAAGCCTCTTTGAAGATGTTCTAAAGGAGTTTTCCATAAGAAACAGATTTAAGCCTTGATTCACTAATCTGCCATGTATGTTCTTGAAAACCTTGAAAATCACACACACTGCTGTCAAGTGACTCTCCCCAAGGAAGATACAAGGAAGACAGTTGTGTCTTTCTTTTAGAAGTATCACTCTTGAAGCCAGGAGATAGAGGACAAGACATACTGTAGGCAGTCCAGTGAAATTTACTAATTTCCTACAACTAACCTAGTATTTAAGCTTTTTTTTTTCAATACCAATAAGCCAAAAAGAAATAGAAAGGAGTATGTGAAAATCTAAACTAGCTGCTTCATGAAAAAAAATCCTACCTACTTATCTTAATCTAAAACTAAATAGAGTGGGAGGAGGAACACTGAGAAGTTCCAACTCTTCGACAGGGTAACCACAAATTGCTGATTGGAGGTTGGGGTCGCTCTTCCTCTTCTGCTCTTGAGGGCAGAAGCTTGAGAGTATGAGGAACACATGCACGTCCCCCGACTTCTAGATTTAAAAAAAAAGTCCAAACGCCTGTGCAGGGGTGACAGCACATCATGAATGGGATCCATATGCACAGGAGTTCAAAGAACCACCACCATTACTTCAAGGTTTTATTCAAACTGTAGCTCACAGAACATTTCCTAAAGGTACACAATGAAAAAGACAAGTGTGTACCTAGCATGAAATACAAGCAAGCTTAACTTTTTCCCAAATAGTTGGGACAAAAAGTGATATAAAGAAAAAAAATCTTGAAGTTCCCATAATCCAAAATAAATTAAGAACTTTTAGTTTTGCTTCATAGAGCTTGATACTCCGAGGTGCCAAAAAGGGGGCCTCAGCTGCCATGATACTGCGGAGTAATTTTTTTTTTGATTGAGTAGCACTGTGTTTGCTATACTGAAGGTCAGAGAAAAACATCTGAAATAAGTGTTTAATCACTTTAAATTCCATGGAGACTACTGCTACATATAGTTTTAAAACCAGCTTTTCAAAATAATAATAATTTAGAACCCTCTAAGGCAGTGGTTCTTAACCTGGGGTGCACGCACTCCCTGGGGGTGTGAGACGCCCTTTCTGGGGGTGCGAGACATACCAGATTTTTTTAGAAAGTACATCATCGAAAACACAAATTAAGCACCTATGTATTTATTAACATTATACATTTTTTAACAAATTACTGTAATATACAAACAAAATATATCTAGGTTTAAAGAACTGACCTACTTCAACTATTTTTGATAAGGGGCGCGAGAACATATTTTGAGCACCAAAGGGATGCAGGCTGCAGTAAAGGTTAAGAACCACTGCTCTAAGGTGTACAATTAATTCAAAATGCTTCCTTCCAACATGCATTACTTTGCATTTATCAACAAAGAACTGTACCTGCAATTGTGTAGCCCATTCACCTACTTTGGCTAAATTCCTCTGAATTTCCTTACAGTCCTCTTTGACTAACCTAAATAATTTTGCATTATCTGCAAATCTTGTGATCTCATTGCTCATATTCCTTTCCAGATCATTCATAAATGTATTAAACACTGAATCTAATACAGAGCCTTGAAGCATGCCATCACTAACCTCATGTCTGATGAAAATTGACCATTTAATCCTATTCTTCATTCACTGGATATTAGCTAGTTTTTGATTCATGACAACACTTTGCCCCTAAGCCCCAAATCATTTAGTAGCTGCTTCTCAGGGAGAATGTCAAAAGCCCCAAACACTTCTCCTTTATCTACAATTTATTGAGAAGTTCAAAGAATTCTAATAGATGAGTAAGACATGATTTTCCTTTGCAGAAACTACGCTGGTTAGATGCTAACAAATCAGGATGGTAAAACAATCAATAATGATGAAAAAAAGCAGAAATATTCTATTAATATTAGCATTCTGTATTTGAAAAGAAGCTGGATACTATTCATAGTTTACAGTGATAATGAAATACGTTTTATTCTGACAGTATCGAGGCAGGATGCTAAACGACTGCTAAATCTAAACACTCATGTCTGCAGTAGCCAAGAGTTTTAAAGAAATTGGCTGATGCAATTCTGAAGCACTGATTTTGATACTTAACTAACTGTAGAATACTGAGGAAGTCCTATAGGATTAGAAAAAAGCAACAGTTATGCCAATATTTAAAAAGAATGAATGGGGTGATCCAATAAGTACAGGCTGGTTAGCATAATATCAGTCCTAGGCAAAGACACGGAGAGGCTGATATAAGGATGTAATCAGGAAGAACTCTCTAAAACAATAGCTTCTAAAGTTGAAAAATAAAACAAGTTTAAACGGTGCTACTCAGCTCAAACCATTTGCAAGGGAACCTTGACATGAAGTTTAAAGATTTCCTGGAGGAACGCCTTCTTTCCTTTCAAAAAACTTAATAAGCATGCAATAGACAGAACTTCCCCCTGGACATAATGTAATTCTCCAAGGCAGGGTCATATTGTCCGATAATTTCACAGGTAAGAATTTTCCCTCTGTCTCCACCATATCATACAGATACTTTGGGATGCAGAAAGCAGTAAATTGTCCCAAGGGAGGAAGACAGGGAAGATTCATTTAATCCATCTAGATCTGAAAAGGCATTCAAGAGTTAACGGAGCTCCCTGTTTCAGAACACTCTTTTGCCTCAGCAAGAGTGAAGATGTTGACTCTATGTTGTTTGAGAAAGTGTGGATGGAAGTGCCTGTAGTAGCCTTATGAACTCCTCATAAAATATGAGCAATCTCTCCGTCCACAAAACGGCTGCTCCTTTCAGAGTGCACAGTAACGAGGCTTTGAATGTCTCTGCTATATTTGAATGTATCTGCTTTATTCCTCTGTAACTCTATTCACATCAACTCATACATTTCTACTTACTTACTATTACAAACTTACTATGTTTGGATTCAACACTTCCTATTATATGAGAAAGATCATGGTAATCTTGGGGATAGAAGCCTGATTAGTTCACAGACATAAAAGTCTTTTAGACCAATTCTGAGATAAGGAGGCAACAGCCTCTGCTTCTGAGTGCCTTCCTTCTGCAGTACCTTTTTTTTTGGTTTCCCAATTGGACTTTGATACAAGCAGGTTCATCAACAAGCTTCCAACCTGGCCTGTGATGTACCAAAAAGCTACCTGATCTGGACTGCAATCCCTTGCTGAGCCATCTGACCCTGATTTTTCTTCTTGGTGTAGAACGCGAAGGAACAGGGGCAAAAGCTTCTGCCAGGATGTGAACAAAGCTACTTCTCTAAGCAGTACTGAAGGTTTTCTGTCTCTTTGGCAGTTATACACACACCATATTTCTGATCTTCAAGATTTAGATGTACCCCGGATGTGAAAACTTAGAGAAGATTACATTAGCCCTCTTAGCTATAGTATCATACTAGGAGTTCATATTTAATTGTTTATCTACCATTTATCTCCAACTCTTTTTGCATTCCAGGATACAGTCCCCCAGTAATCTGCTGGAAATGGAGGTGTGAGCTTGATGGTCCACAGCATGAGGCACATTTCCTCCTGTTTCCTCCTTGGGCCCACATCCCATCCCAAGTCATATAGGAGTCCGCATATGTTCCCTCTACATGGGGTCTAGTATCTGTAGTGATGATCAGCTTATCTAGCCTGGCTAACTAAATAATA